GAAACTGCTCTCACACACAACACAGAAACTGCTCTCACACACAACACAGAAACTGCTCTCACACACAACACAGAAACTGCTCTCACACACAACACAGAAACTGCTCTCACACACAACACAGAAACTGCTCTCACACACAACACAGAAACTGCTCTCACACACAACACAGAAACTGCTCTCACACACAACACAGAAACTGCTCTCACACACAACACAGAAACTGCTCTCACACACAACACAGAAACTGCTCTCACACACAACACAGAAACTGCTCTCACACACAACACAGAAACTGCTCTCACACACAACACAGAAACTGCTCTCACACACAACACAGAAACTGCTCTCACACACAACACAGAAACTGCTCTCACACACAACACAGAAACTGCTCTCACACAGAAACTGCTCTCAAACACGAAGACTTGGTCTAAAAACATAGTACACTACGATGGAACCTCTTTAGTCCGGCTACTTTTGTTTCTGGAAGAAAAACGAAAAACTCTCAAATTAACCAGACATTATTTCTGCTTTGAAAGTCCATTCCAGATCATTCAGTCTCTGGATTAAAAAGGATCCATTGTATATAACAAAGTAAATACACAACACCAATGGACGAGTCCTATCTGGGACTGAACTCGAACTATAATATATTAATCTTTGTAAACAAATATGTATGGCGATTATACAATGATAAACTGGTGAAGTCGACTAAAAAGACTCGACTCAAGTTATACAAGGCCTTCTAGATTCATATATAGGCTACTATTCATTGATAAAATGAAGACTACTTCTCCAGACAATATGACATATAGATCACAAAACTGTATCACGGTGTCCAAATTTCCAATTTGAACATTTTTTAAATGTGATAATTTGTTTATATGGCTACAGAAACGCATTGTACATACTGATCATAAGCTGCTCCGAGGACACTATAGAAAAACGTTTTCTTGATAGCTGTTCCTACCTGATGAGAAAGTAGCGCTTACTCAGTATAATTCTTTGGTCATTGCACTGAGGCATTTTGTCTGTAGTTTGATTAGATAATACAATGTCCAACAGTCTTCAATTTGAAAATGTATTGTTCCATTAAAGATTGTAAATCTTCTGTTTGAATGGAGCTAAGGGACGATTTAAACAGAAAACGGTTTTCTTGTCTTAACTGTCCAATGATACAAGTATACCCTAATATTACAACAAAAACCCCACAAAAACCGCCAAGTTCGTTTCAGATCATACTAACCTTTTAAATCAAAATCATCCTTCAAGAAAGATTTCAAGTATGAAATTCTAACTATGCAATATACTATTTCTAAACAAAAAAAAATACAAGTATAATTTTATGTATATCTTTATAAAATTTTGCAGTTTTCTCTAAAAGTAAATATATAAGCACATTTTTTTTAACAATGACAAATATGAAGATATATATTAAAGAGTTAAAGCTGCCTAAGAACCTGATGAAAAAACATCTTCATTGTTATTCCTAAATCGTGTGTAACACCATTCTAAAATTTTATATAATTCATTAAGTCATGCACAACACCGTTATGTAATTATAGATAATTCACTAAATCATGAACACCGTTCTGTATTTATATGAAATTCGTTAAATAATGAACAACATTATTATGCGGTTGCATATACTCATTAACTCAAGGACGCCATTGTGAATTCATATATATTTTTCAAAAAATCATTACAATACCATAATGTGTTATATTGAGGTGTAACCTACGAGCCCTGCTGTGCTACAATGTAATATAAATTATATAACTAGTTACAGCTTAACGCGTGTGTATGCTGCCACTAAGTACCTATATAACCAGTTGTATTGAATTCATATATATTTTTCAAAAAATCATTACAATTCCATAATGTGTTATATTGAGGTGGAACCTACGAGCCCTGCTGTGATACAATGTGTTATATTGAGCTGTAACATACGGGCCCTGCTGTGCTACAATGTAATATAAATTATATAACTAGTTACAGCTTAACGTGTGTGTATGCTGCCACTAAGTACCTATATAACCAGTTGTATTGAATTCATATATATTTTTCAAAAAATCATTACAATACCCTAATGTGTTATATTGAGGTGTACCATACGAGCCCTGCTGTGCTAAAATGTGTTATGTTGAGGTGTACCCTACGAGCCCTGATGTGCTACAATGTGTTATGTTGAGGTGTACCCTACGAGCCCTCCTGTGGTACAATGTGTTATATTGAGCTGTAACATACGGGCCCTGCTGTGCTACAATGTGTCATATTGAGGTGTAACCTACGAGCGCTACTGTGCTACAATGTGTTATCTTGAGGTGTAACCTACGAGACCTGCTGTGCTACAATGTGCTATATTGAGGTGTAACCTACTAGCCCTGCTGTGCTACAATGTGCTAGATTGAGGTGTAACCTACGAACCCTGCTGTGCTACAATGTGTTGTATTGAGGTGTAACCTACGAGACCTGCTGTGCTACAATGTGTTGTATTGAGGTGTAACCTACGAGACCTGCTGTGCTACAATGTGCTATGTTGAGGTGTAACCTACGAGACCTGCTGTGCTACAATGTGCTATGTTGAGGTGTAACCTACGCGCCCTGCTGTGCTACAATGTAATATAAATTATATAACTAGTTACAGCTTAACGCGTGTGTATGCTGCCACTAAGTACCTATATAACCAGTTGTATTGAATTCATATATATTTTTCAAAAAATCATTACAATTCCATAATGTGTTATATTGAGGTGGAACCTACGAGCCCTGCTGTTCTACAATGTGTTATGTTGAGGGGTACCCTAAGAGCCCTGCTGTGCTACAATGTGATATAAATTATATAACTAGTTACAGCTTAACGCGTGTGTATGCTGCCACTAAGTACCTATATAACCCCTGCTGTGCTACAATGTGATATAAATTATATAACTAGTTACAGCTTAACGCGTGTGTATGCTGCCACTAAGTACCTATATAACCCCTGCTGTGCTACAATGTTATATTGAGGTGTAACCTAGGAGCCCTGCTGTGCTACAAAGTGTTATATTGAGGTGTAACCCACGAGCCCTGCTGTGCTACGATGTGTTATATTGAGGTGTAGCCTACGAGCCCTGCTGTACTACAATGTGTTATGTTGAGGTCTAACCTACGAGCCCTGCTGGGCTACAATGGGATATATTGAGGTGTACCCTACGAGCCCTGATGTGCTACAATGTGTTATGTTGAGGTCTAACCTACGAGCCCTGCTGTTCTACAATGTGTTATGTTGAGGTTTAACCTACGAGCCCTGCTGGGCTACAATGGGATATATTGAGGTGTACCCTACGGGCCCTGCTGTGCTACAATGTGCTAGATTGAGGTGTAACCTACGAACCCTGCTGTGCTACAATGTTATATTGAGGTGTAACCTAAGAGCCATGCTGTGCTACAATGTGTTTTATTGAGGTGTAACCTACGAGACCTGCTGTGCTACAATGTGTTGTATTGAGGTGTAACCTACGAGCCCTGCTGTGCTACAATGTGATATAAATTATATAACTAGTTACAGCTTAACGTGTGTGTATGCTGCCACTAAGTACCTATATAACCAGTTGTATAAAGGTCCTAGGCTTGGTCCTCCGTGACTAAATATGGTCAGGCATAGTCCGCAGTAAATAATAATTGTAAGGGTTCAAACCTGTAAAGCGTTCCTTGGCTTAAGTCCTCAGTAAATATGGTCATGCGTTCAAATTTATATATTTTGGTTCTAGTCTCAGCTCTCAGTGTATATTAATTGCCAGGCGTTGACATGTGTTTCTATATATTTTGGTTCTAGTCTCGGCTCTCGGTGTAGGTTAATTGCCAGGCGTTGACATGTGCTTTTATATATTTTGGTTCTAGTCTCAGCTCTCATTGTATATTAATTGCCAGGCGTTGACATGTGTTTCTATATATTTTGGTTCTAGTCTCGGCTCTCGGTGTAGGTTAATTGCCAGGCGTTGACATGTGTTTCTATATATTTTGGTTCTAGTCTCGGCTCTCGGTGTAGGTTAATTGCCAGGCGTTGACATGTGCTTTTATATATTTTGGTTCTAGCCTCTGCTGTCAGTGGATATTAATTGCCTCGCGTGGCCATGTGTTTTTATATATTTTGGATCTTGTATCAGCTCTCAGTGTTTATTAATTGCCAGGTGTTGACATGTGAGCCCTGCTGTGCTACAATGTGATATAAATTATATAACTAGTTACAGCTTAACGTGTGTGTATGCTGCCACTAAGAACCTATATAACCAGTTGTATAAAGGTCCTAGGCTTGGTCCTCCGTGACTAAATATGGTCAGGCATAGTCCGCAGTAAATAATAATTGTGAGGGTTCAAACCTGTAAAGCGTTCCTTGGCTTAAGTCCTCAGTAAATATGGTCATGCGTTCAAATTTATATATTTTGGTTCTAGTCTCAGCTCTCATTGTATATTAATTGCCAGGCGTATACGAGCCCTGCTGTGCTACAATGTGATATAAATTATATAACTAGTTACAGCTTAACGTGTGTGTATGCTGCCACTAAGTACCTATATAACCAGTTGTATAAAGGTCCTAGGCTTGGTCCTCCGTGACTAAATATGGTCAGGCATAGTCCGCAGTAAATAATAATTGTGAGGGTTCAAACCTGTAAAGCGTTCCTTGGCATAAGTCCTCAGTAAATATGGTCATGCGTTCAAATTTATATATTTTGGTTCTAGTCTCAGCTCTCAGTGTTTATTAATTGCCAGGTGTTGACATGTGAGCCCTGCTGTGCTACAATGTGATATAAATTATATAACTAGTTACAGCTTAACGTGTGTGTATGCTGCCACTAAGAACCTATATAACCAGTTGTATAAAGGTCCTAGGCTTGGTCCTCCGTGACTAAATATGGTCAGGCATAGTCCGCAGTAAATAATAATTGTAAGGGTTCAAACCTGCAAAGCGTTCCTTGGCTTAAGTCCTCAGTAAATATGGTCATGCGTTCAAATTTACATATTTTGGTTCTAGTCTCAGCTCTCTGTGTATATTAATTGCCAGTCGTTGACATGTGTTTTTATATATTTTGGTTCTAGTCTCAGCTCTCAGTGTTTATTAATTGCCAGGTGTTGACATGTGTTTACAGTGTATCCAGATGAAATTAATTGTCTTGCTTGGTAGCTGTCTTAGAATTGAACAATACAAAGTATAAAGTTATACATTACTAAGCTTTAAACAGACACTTAAGATACTTAATGTTTCTTCTATTGAAATCACTTAAATTGGTTACATTTGCAAATGTACAGCTATGATAAAACAAGATGATACTACAATAGAGTATTTCACCTGTATTAGCAATACAAACATCAACAAAAAAGGGCAAATACATCATTATACATTAGTATACTGCCTTAGTTTTGGTCTAGGTTAACGTCCTCGTAACACCTAACGTCATAAAAGACAAGCATATATATAGCTACGTCATATGGATGTATTACCGTGTAGATCCCGTGTAAACATCAGTCCCGGATGTCATCGTATAAGTGTAAGATCGTTGCTCACGCCTAACAGGAGACGCAGCCATGGACAAAGCCGTTACAACAGTCCAACAGAATACAATGTTACGTTTGAGGACGATACAGGAACCATCCGGTGTCCACCATGTTCGAACATTGTATTTGCTTCTATTCACAAGAAAATTCAAATAAAATCATTTTTTATTCTTTTGGAAATACACTTTGAGACTTCAAAAAATATTGATGAAGTAACACATAGCTGAGTGTTTAATCTGGTGGTTCATATGGATACTTATAACAAGAGGCCCAAGAGGGCCTGTATCGCTCACCTGAATATTTAAGCAGTCATAGCAAAATCTTCTCATTAAATATTATATTGCACTAAAACTATTTCCCTCGCAAACTTTGTTGGCTCCATCTGTTGAAACTACCAGCAAAATATTATTATAAGATTCTATGCTTTTTTATTCTTCTTCAGAAGTTGCTTGACATACTTTTCCCTGTGATCTTGTAAGTAGGTCAATGTCATTTTCCTTCTCAAATTGGTTAGCTCTATTCCAAAAAGCTACCAGCCAAATCTTATGATTCCATTCCTTTTAGTTCTCAAGAACAAATCCATTAAAATGTTGTTGACCTCTGTGACCTCTAAAGTAGGTTGAGGTCATTTTCATTTGCAAACTTTGGTGAGCTCTATCCCGGGAAGTCACCAGCCAAATATTATAATTTTATGCCTTTTAATTCTTCAGAAGAAGCTGTTTGAACTGTTTGACATATTTGAACGCTGTGACCTTGAAAGTAGGTCAAGGTCATTTTCATTCGCAAACTTTGTTTGGCTCTTTCCCAGGAAGCCACCTGCCAAATATTAAGATTTTATAACTACCAGTTCTTCAGAAGAAGTCGTTTAAAGTGTTTGACATATCTGCCTCATGTGACCTTAAAAGAAGGTCAAGGTCATTTTCATTCTCAAACTTTGTTCGGCTCTTTCCTAGGAAGCTACAAGCCAAATATAGAGATTATATACCTTTCAGTTCTTCAGAAGAAGTCGTTTGAAGTGTCTGACACATTTGACTCCTGTGACCTTGAAAGAAGGTCAAGGTCATTTTCATTCTCAAACTTTGTCGGGCTCTATCCAAGGAAGCCATCAATCAAAAATAAAGATTCTATACCTTTCAGTTCTTCAGAAGAAGTCATTTGAAGCTTTTGACATATATGACCCCTGTGACCTTGAAAGTAGGTCAAACTAGTTTTCATTCTCAAACTTTGTTGGGCTCTATCCCAGGAAGCCACCAGCCAAATATAAAGATTATATACCTTTCAGTTCTTCAGAAGAAGTCGTTTGAAGTGTTTGACACATTTGACCCCTGTGACCTTGAAAGAAGGTCAAGGTAATTTTCATTCTCAAACTTTGTTGGGCTCCATCCAAGGAAGCCATCAGCCAAATATGAAGATTCTATACCTTTTAATTCTTCAGAAGAAGTCGTTTGAAGTTTTTGACATATTTGACCCCTGTGACCTTGAAAACAGGTCAAGGTCATTTTCGTTCTCAAACTTTGTAGGGCTCCTACCAACGAAGCTTTCAGCCAAATATCATGACTCTAGGCCTGTCCGTTCTTCAGAAAAAGTTGTTTAAAGGAAAAGTTGACGGACGAGGACGGACGGACGGACGGACGGACGGACGGATGGACGACGGACGCCGCGCCACGGCATAAGCTCACTTGGCACTTCGTGCCAGGTGAGCTAATAACGAAGCACTGGTTACTCAACATTTTATGAAAGTTATATTTGTCAACAAGGCTTTAAATACCAGTCAATAATATCATTCATCATATATCCGTCAAAGCTATCATACAACCGTACTTCAGATACAAAGAAACACCATGTTTTCTTCTTAATACCAAACCAATTTCTTCCCAGCGTTTCAACTACAGGCAAACTATACAACAGCTAAATTACGATGATCTTAGAATCACCCCTCCTTCAGCATGTCCTTGTCCTACACCACCTTACAGCTATTTTCCAGCAAGACACGTAGTAACTGTGATCAAAACAATACCCATACTATTCATAATGTAAAACTATGAAAGCTGTTCGTGAAGGATCAAAAGTAACAAGAAAACTTAATCGTCAAACGGAATGTGAATTTAACATACCAATGGATTCCGAGTGAGTCGAAAGCATGCTGAACCAGGTACAATTCCAGAGTGGGTTAAGTCTGCCAGGTCCATCATTCCAGTAAGAATAATCGGCTCGAAATTCAAAATGAAAACCAAACACAAGTCTATGCTTCTTGACCTTACTTCTAAACCACACTCACGATCTGCGCCCAAGTATGTGTTAGTGTCGGCAGAAAAAGCATCTAATAGCTGTATCCCTGTCTACAAATACTGATAATAACCTTACCAAAACATATGGCACTCATACCAGCTGTGAATACCATGACCAATGAAAAATGACTACGCTTGCTTGATATCCAAAGTAGCTCTGCTTCTACATTTTGCACATTTTCAAAGATAAAATATTACCTAAATCTGCTTTTGTATCACCGTCTTTCTTAAAAATAAGAATACAGGCATACCTTTGTATTAGATTACAAAATTTTGAAATAATACTTTTACATATCGTTTTATGAATGGCTATGATATTGACTCAGCCAAGCCATTATCCAAACTTCTAACACCAATCAGGGTTGCGTTTGTATTGTGATCCTGTATACTTCACAGATGGATTTAATTGAATATTGAGTTTTTGAACTCAAAATATGTTTAAGTAAATATTGAACATATTAATTTTTTTGTCATCAAAAATGTTTCATCTGCAATAATATTTTACTTTTTCCACCCTGTACTCTGTAAACAAAGCCTCTTACCAAGCTGAATGATTGCATTCATTTCCAAGAAAAACACAGTTACAGATGGTTGTTAAATACTTTGAAGCATAGCTTGTCAACGACCCAACAATGGCAATGATGATACATATACTAAGGATGAAGAGGTGAATTTGTGAGTGCCTGGTTGAAAATATCTTTTGAGGTTGTTGTTTTTTCATACAAGGCTAAAAAAAAAAGTCTATCAGGACCAGTAACAAAGACCTTACAACGTCGTTTGATTTCCCTTACAGATGTGTTGATGATGTGCTATGTTTGATAAGATAGTATTTATCCCCCGGAACTTTAAATGAAGGACACTACACCCACTTCTATGTAAGCCACTTATCTCTATCTGTAACATTACCAACAGCAATGACCCACTGCTAAGCTGTATCAGCATTCCCTAATTTCTCGACAGGGAACTCTCTGCTTTGCCATCTATGTTTTTTCGTCACAGCTGATTGGATTTTCACAGACTTGCTCTAACAGTCATGATTTCCACGTAAGATGTTAAATGCTGACAAACACAACATTTGTCCTACTCTAACCCTTATCTGTTTTCTTATAAAGATTAAAATCATCGACAATTTACATTAATACTCAACATAGTCTTCAACTATCCGGTTTACATGTTTAAGTGTTTATATAAATCACCCTTGTTGGCCAGGATGTTAGTGTGCTGGGGTCTTAATCTTGGAGTACCCAAAGATAACCCACGTGGTTGGGCAGGTGACTCCTATACCTTTTTTCTTTCCCCGTCATATGTAAATTTGCGCCTTTTGTATGCATCAATCTTTTCCTGACTTGTGAAGCCATCACTCAGAGGATGTAGTATTTCGTGTGTTTTAAGAAATCTGTGTTACTTTGCTGTAGTTTAAAAATGTCAGTAACATTAACAATTATGCAGAATTACATTGACCTTTCAGGATCATGCTATCATTTGTGAAATAATTGATAATCCATTTCATGGTTTGTTGGGTTCTGTCAGAGTCAATGACATTATTAACAATGGCAACTTGTGCTTCATAACGAAATGAGGAATTTGCAGATGATAGATCTGCTTATAAAGTTACAAGGTATTTTGATTCATCAATCAAAAGCAAAAAAACTCAAAAGAATGTAAGTTATATCCATCTCAATTAAAAAGAAAATCATTTAAGTTCACAAACATTCATATTACAAACCTTGTGTAAGTTATCCAAAAATATTATTCAAAAACACGTATATGTCTGATTGACTTCTAGTGAGTTTTAGTGAATTTAAAAAAAAAGAAGTATTATAAATTGACTTCTAGTAAATGTGAAACAGAATTCTAGTAAATGTGAAACAGAAGTGTTTCAAAGAAGGTTATCACCATTAAAAACAGATATTTCTACGATGAGGTATTTGATCATATGATGACAAAGAAAATGTACTTTGATCTTTGTTTTGTAGTTTGAGTATGATGAAGGAGGATCTTACATATCAGACATGAAGTTCCAAGATTATTCCTTGCCAGCAGTCAGGATTGTCATTGTGCGGGGATGGTAAGAATATAAATCATCGAGTTCAAAGGTTATTCCTTGTCAGGAGTCAGGTTCGTCCGTATGTGAATTAGATTCTGTTATACTTCTTACTAACAAACTCAGTTCCTGTGCTAATTTAGCTTTTTCTACCTTTTTCTGGAATTTCCTACCTGCAATAAAGAAACAAAAAAAACATAAGGATTTATGTGTACACCTGTATTTTACCTGTGATCAGAACATAGGCCACAGGTATTGAGGGGTCTGTCAAAGTTCCTAGTGTTGTCACCTCAAATCATCCGAACGGTGTCACAGGGGCTTGGTCTCTGTCATTAGAAAACCTAACAATGCAGAGAAGATATGTATATCTAGAGCATAACCCTTGGATTTAGAAGATTTAGAAGTGGTAACTGTATTCCTGTATGTTACTTGATAGGCAGAAAGGGTGTTGTAATTATGTGAGCTCCTCAAGCAAGCCGATATGCTTAGAACTGTGGTTGGACCTACTTTTGAAATACCTTCAAGACATGTTTACAGAAATCATTACAAATCATACAATATATGAAACACAACAATCACCTTCATCAAATTCAAATTGTTCATTCCATTTTTTTGTTCCACTTGCAATTATATCATTTTTACTAAGCACATTATAAAAATCTTTTGTACCTTTCTGTTTTTTAGCAAATATTTGTAATTTTCTTGGAATAAAAGGATAGTCTATTTTTGGATGGGTCAAGTTACACCGACTGCAAAGCTCCCTTATAGCTGTAAAAATTCCGTGATATTGTAAGAAATTTGCTCTAACACCATATTTTTCTCTTAATTCAAAAAAACTGAAGAAGTTGTTGTTATCCTTTTTTAAGTCATTAACTACTACAACTCCCTTCCTATACCAATCCTTATAAAAAACACTATTATTATCTATTTTGATTTTTTCGTTTAACCATATAGGCATGTCGGAGATCTGTTTTGAATCTGTATATTTTTCCTCAAGAATAGTAAGATTTTTCCATGCAAGAAAGACATCTTTCCAGAAAAGATTTTTACAGTTATTATGACAAAAGGAAATATAGTCTGGTCCACAGTTTACAAGAAGGTTTTTATCAATA